TGTGTGTGTGTGTCTGTGTGTGTGTCTGTGTGTGTGTGTCTGTGTGTGTGTCTGTGTGTGCCAGTGCATGTCTGGGTGTGCATCTGTGTGCATCTAGGCATTGAGTGTCTTGCATCTGTGTGTGCATCTGTGTGTGCATCTGTGCACATCTGCATGTGTGTCTGCATGTGTGCGTGCGTGTCTGGGCATGTCTGTGCATGTGTCTATGCGTGTTTGGGCGTGTGTCTGCGTGTGGGTGGGTGTGTCTGTGGGTGGGTGTGTCTGGGTGGGTGTGTCTGTGGGTGTGTCTGTGGGTGTGTCTGTGTGTGTGTCTGTGGGTGTCAAATCTGCTGAGCCCTGATTGGCTGAAACAGCTGCAGCTCCACTCCACCTCCTGATTGGCCCAGACTTTGCAGCCTTATGCTGCTCCCTGATTGGTCGAGACGGCTGCAGCCTGATTTCCAAAAGAGCTGCATTTCCTATCCGCCTCCTGATTGGCCAGCTTCAACCTACTTCCTGATTGGTTGAAAAAGCTGCAGCCAGGCGCCTCACCGTGATTGGTCGGAAATGCCTCATTTCACTCCGCCTCTTGGTTGGCAGCAAACACAGCGCTTCAATCTGCATTCTGATTGGCCGAAAAAAGTGGCTTTTTCAATCCGCCTTCTGATTGGTCGCAGGCTCGCGGATCTCAGTCCGTTTTCCGCCTGGCTGGGCGGGGCTCGCCGGCCATGTTCCGGGGTGCCGCGCATGCGCCGTCGCGCGGGCCGGGCGGGTCGTTTGGCGGGAGCGATGGCGGCCGCGGCCGGCGGCGACTCGGACGGCGATAGCGAGGAGCTGGTGCTCACCCCAGCGCAGCTGATCCACAGCCTAGAGCAGGTGCCGTGGGCTAGAGCGACGGCCTTGGGCAGGGGGAAGCGGGGGTTGCTGAGCGTTGGGCGCACTGGAGCAGACGCCGAGGTGCGGGGCCGCGGCCGTGCTTTTTCCCTCTCGCTGGTGGCGGTGTGTATCTGAGGTCATCTTCGATGTCACTGACGGCGTGCCTTCTTTCAGGCCTGGCTGAATGAGAAATTTGCTCCGGAACTGCTAGAGAGTAAACCTGAAGTCATCGAGTGTGTAGTGGAGCAGCTGGACCATATGGTAGGTTCTCCTGGCTCGGGGGTTGCTACAGGCCCTGGTTGCCTGCTCCGGCAGATACGTGCCTGAGCCTCTTTGAGAGTGCCAGGCTTGTCTGCTTCCCTGTCTCTGAGACAGCTTCTCCGAGTTTCTTCTTCGAGCTTGCGTTGGAGAGGGGCTGAAGTACAAAGAAGCAGAGTGCTTTGGGTCATCAAAAGCAGCCATAGTTTGTTTTTGTGGGTTCTGTATACAAAAGTTATCTTCTTCCTTGTTTCTTGTTGTTTGACGTTTCAACCATTTAGTTTCTCACTGCTTTTTCTTTCAGGAAGCAAACCTGAAACGGGCAAAGAGAGGAGACCTGAGGGTCAGTGTTCACCACATGGAGATCGAAAGGATCCGCTATGTGCTCAGCAGCTACTTGCGGTGTCGGTTGGTGAAGGTAATGCTTACTGTGCAGCCCAGGGGGTGAAAAAGGGTAATTTCAGGGGGGATTTTTTACCTACACAGAGCTTCCTGCCTCAGCACAGCATTTAATTAAAGCATGTTCTCTCTCTGTTCTCTGGAATGTAACTCAAATAAATTAGTTTCTTGGACACACTTTTGTATTTTAATGCAGGAAGATCGCAGCAGTGTTAATCAAAACATTGAGAGTGCTGAATGCTGTCCCATTCTGCCTGAGTCCTGCTGTGTGCATGCATGATTGTATAGCATTGGTGATCCCATGTGATGTCTCAGTTAGTTCAGGAGCAGGGATTTGGACAGGCCTGTGGCTGCTCCTACAGCTTGTGGGGAATCCAGTGGAGAGTGGGGGTTTAAGCACTGAATTCTTGGGAGAGATCTGTATTATTCTTTTTGGATTGTGTTCCAATATTAGATAGAGAAGTTTTTTCCCCACATCCTGGAGAAGGAGAAGTCTCGAGCTGAAGGGGAGCCCTCCATTTTATCACCAGAGGAGTTTGCTTTTGCTAAAGAGTGAGTAGGTTTTCAGTGTATCTTCCTCCTCTTTTATTGATTAAATAAATTTACCTGTGTGTTTTTCTGAAGTTCTTGAGACCATGAGCCTTAGACTTATTTGAAGTAAGAATCAGTTACCAGGAGGTTTCCTTATGGGCAAGAAAGGAACTAAAAATAACTGGTGACTTTGAGTCAGTTACCAGGGTAGGCCAAGGATTTGTCTATGGTTGTGCCTGTGGGATGAGGAGCTGTTGCTTACTCTTGTTTTGAGTCAATACTCTCCCTGCAGATTTGTATTTGATTAACCAAGTTGATACTTCAATGATTTGTTTCAGGTATATGGCAAACACAGAGGCTTACCTGAAAAATGTGGCCCTAAAACACATGCCACCTAACCTGCAGAAAGTGTCTCTCCTAAAGTCAGGTGAGTCATTCAGACTCCAGAGTAATCTAAAAATTGTAGAAGCAAGGGGAAGTACAGGGAAAGCTCCAGGGAGCCCCAAATGTAAGGGCTGGTCTTCCACTTACTGCTCAGCTGAAGCAAAGGTGATGTGATGATAATGTTGTAACACAGTCCCATGCTGCTACCAGGGGATCATGCTGGCCTCTAGTGTCAAGTCTTACTCTGGGGCTGAGCATGTGCATCCAGTTAGAAGTCTCTGGTGTTCCCTTTGCTGGCTATAAGCTTGCTACCCATCAGACCCCCTCAGTGTTCTGCAGAGGAGCATAAATGAGGGCTGAGCTTGTGCTCTCAATCTGTTGTCTGCAGTTCCAAAGCCCAACCTGGACTCCTTTGTGTTTCTGAGGGTGCTGGAGCGGCAGGAGAACATCCTGGTGGAGCCAGAGACAGATGAGCAGAGGTAGGTGGGCATTTCTGCATGTGGTGCAGGTACCAATCAGTGTCACAGGTGGCCGTGGGCTGCAGCTCACATCCCGCCTGTCTCTGCAGGGAATATGCCATCAACCTGGAGGAGGGATCACAGCACCTGATGCGCTACAGAACCGTGGCCCCTCTGGTGGCCTCAGGAGCCGTGCAGCTCATCTGAGGGGAGAGGTAAGTGTGTGGTGGGAGGAGCAGCTACTGCATCGTCTCCCCTGCCCACCCCACCATAGTGGGGCTGGCAGGAGCTCCCTGTGGGGCTGCCTGGGCCAGGTCTCCTCTGGGGCTGGGTGCCCTCCCGGGGCCAGGTCCCCACTGACATGGCAGGCAGAGCACAGTGGCACTGGGGCTGAGTACCATGGTGTTGTACTGCAGAGGTGTTCATTACCCCCACAGTTCATCAAGCTCCTGATTGCTTGTGACATGCCCAGCATACAGCCATACAGTCCTTACTGTGGCATTCCTGGGTGAGGGCAGGCTGTGTCACAGGGTAGTGTCTGGAAAGCTTCAGTGTGTAGCTGCTGGGATGCCTTGTGTAAGAGCTGTGGCAGACAGCATCACTAAAATGGAACAGCTGTGGTCATGGACTCAGGAAAAAGTAGTTTCTGCTATGTGTCATCTGAATATCCTCCCTGCTGAGGGTGAGGGGTTCTGGTACAGCTTCAGGTTGCATTTGTGAGACTAGACACTGTCAGATCCCCTTCTGCAGAAGCCACTTGCTAGTGGGACATGCAGTCCATTTTTGCTAGTAACACAAAGCAAAAGGTCCTCTGGTCCTGCTGCCCCACGCAGTGGGGCATGGCCTGGAGAAGCCCAGGGTGTTCTGTGGTGCTTCAGCTCAGAACGCGTCAAGCGTGTGGGCAGACGGGCTTGTGTTCATCAGGGCAGTCAGTCTCTCTTCCCTACATGGTCTGCATGAGGTGTTTGGGGAGCATCTTCCTCTACAGTGCTGGGGGTGACACAGGACATCTTGTAGTGTGAGTGGCTTTGCATGTGTGGTTTATAGTCTTCCTAATTAATCCATTTAGGTAAAGAAGATTCTTTCGAGTATAGACATTAAGAGGGGGCTGGGTTTAATCCTTAGGAATCAGTTGCATGCTCCTCTGGACAGCCCCCAGGAAGGGCTTGTGAATTGTGCCCTACCCTTATTTACAGCCAGCTTCACAGAGGTGACTGAAGCTTCCAGACAAAATCCTTGTTAATCTGCTGCTGTGGAAGCGTGCTCCACAGGATCTGCCTGAGGAGTGTGTAGGTGGCACGTCTGCAGGCTTTCTCCTTGGCCTTATTCAGTTTGACTGAATGCTTGTCCAGGCAGCTTGTGCTTGCCACACAGCTGCATGTCACATGGCTGCAGCAGTGTGAGCATGAGGGGCATCTGTCCTCTTCTAGTGGCTGAACTTCAATTACTCTGATGGTTTCCAGAGTGCCTTTGGTGTAGCTCATCTCTGGAGCTCGGCAGCTGGCGCATGGCCGTGTCTTCACAGGCTAGGAGAGTGGAGATGGCTAGTAGGCTGAGATCAGGTAGGCTCCAAGTGACAGTCAGTTGTGGCACACCTGAAAATGCTACCTGCTTTTGTGTCCTTCCGTGACTGAATACCGGGACATCTGTGGAACTGCTAACACTGCACCTGTTCTGTCTGTGCTGGGGGAAGAGGTGTCCACAACTTTATTGAGAAAATAATGGTTTTGGCTTGTACTTTTAGACAGGGAAGACACAGCAGTGGATCCACCTTCATCTGTGCTGCTGGGAGAGAATGGGTAGCTTTTCCAGTGTCCATGGATTTTGCTGTTAAACTTGGGGTCAAATAAATTCCTTGTTCTCTGCTCCTCCCTGGGTGGAAATAGCTTGGGTTTATTTAGTGATTAGCTCTGAACGCAAAGTAGATGGATGGTGGAAGAGGTCACAGAGAGGGCACTGAGGTGAGCTGCAATTTCCCTGCCTGAGCTGGAACTGCTCTTGTGGGGGCCAGAGCAAGGTGGGACAGTTGGTTTCATTGCTAAGACTCATGTTTGTATCGGCTACTCCCAGTCGCTGAATTGGGGGGCTTTGCACTGTCAGTCTGAAACAATGTGTTTAAAGGATGTTTTTGGATCCTGTTTTTGCCAGCTGGGCACTGGGTTCAAGCTCAGTTTGGCCATCCTGTGGGAGATGTCTTGCACTGTGCTGCAGACAATCAGAGATGGTGGGGATGGAGAGGTATGTAGAAATATTGATAGGTCAGTCAGGTGTGTCATGAGCTGATGAAAATCTGTGCTATCAGCAGGAACAATCAGGGCTGCTTAACATAAATGGCTAGACAGCTCTGGGGAGATTAGCAAGGAATACAAGGCAGGGGTGATCTGATTGGGGCGACAGTCTTTACTGTCAAGGAGTCACATGTGAGCTGAGCAGTGAGGATGATTTCAAATATAGATGTTAGGGACCCCACATCCCTGTGGTGCTTGGGTGTGAGCAAATTTCCTTCTCAGTGCACACATCTAGGATAGGAAGCTTCTGAGTTGGTAGAAGATGAGCCGAGGGTCTGTGGTTTTCTCTGCTTAGACACCCTGGAAATAGCTGTCTTTGGAGAAGCATCTGAAAAGGGATGTATTAAACCAGTTCAAACCTCCCCCATTAAAGGCTAGGTAAGAGGAGCGTGCTCTTCTTTCTCCCAGAGCTACCCGGTGTTGATAGTTGCACAAATGCTGGTCCTCCAAAAGCACTCATGTGTTTCTGGCACGCATTTCTGTGCTGTTCCCGTTAGCCCCTGCCTGGCACGGTCGCGCCCCGCGCTCTGCCCGGGTCCCGGGGGGGCGGGGCGTGCCGGAGCAGTCGGGCCCCATTGGCCGCCCGCGGGCGCGGCGCCGGCGCTGATTGGCTGGCGCGCGGTGTCCCGGCCGCGGGCGCTCCCCCGGCCCCATTGCCGCGGAGCCGCCGCGGCGGGAGCGGAGCGGAGCGGGCGGGACGCCATGAGCTGCGGCGAGTGAGCGGGGCCGGGCGCGGGTGGGGCGGGGGGACCGCCGGGGCCGACGGCTGGGGCCGCGCCGTCTGACCCCCTCTTCGCCTCTAGGCTTTTCCAGGTGTGCAGCGGGCGGGCTGCCGCCCCCCCAGCCGTGCCCGTGGACCTGGCCGTGCGGCTCTGCCTGAGCCATTCGCCCCCCATCCGCAAGCTGCTGAACTCCTACGAGGAGCTGCGGGGCAACCGAGGCCGCAAACCCCTCCGATCCTGCCTCAACCAGAAGCTGAGTGCAGAACCTGAGCCAGAGCGGCGAGACAGTACCAAGAGCTCCAAGAGCCAGAAAAAGAAGCGGGTTGTGTTTGCTGATATGAAGGGGCTCTCACTGACGGCTGTCCGCTTTTTCTCGAAGATCGAGGAGGACCTCTGTGATTTGCAGCAAGCTCTGTCAGACCTTGCCTGTTTCCGACCTAGGCTGTGGGACTTACGCCCGGAAGCGTGCAGGTATGTGCTGGACTTCCCACAGCCGTCTGCAAACTATGTGGCTTTCCGCAACAGCCTGCACAGCAACTTGGTCTGCCTGGAGAGCTGTCTGATCCAGGACCGTGCTCTATCAGGGACAGTGAAGGTTAGAAACATCGAGTATGAGAAGAAAGTGATGGTCCGCATCACCTTTGATGGTTGGAAGAGCTTCCAGGATATCTCTTGCCAGTACATGCACAGCACATATGGCTCAACTGACACAGACATCTTCTCTTTTGAGCTTACCCTGCCCAAGCCATCCATCTCCCATAGGGGCACAGAGTTCTGCATCTCCTTCCAGTGTGGACAAAAGACCCACTGGGACAACAACCATGGGAAGAACTACAAGATCTGCCATGTGGGCATGATCCGCCCTGCCTCCTGTGCTGTGAAGAGTGCCAGCAGGGCCTGGGAGCATCTTGGCACCTCTAGGGCTGCTGCTCTAGTCCTTTCTCGCCTGCAGACCTGGCGGCATTCAGAGACCCAAGCTCCTTATTGGTAGGAAGGCAGTGTGGGGAGAGATGTCCCCTCCCTCTCCTGACTGGTACAAGGGTGTTTGGGGAGGGGTCAGCTGCAGAAGATGCTGCTCACGGTTTTGGTAGCTCTATGAGCAGTTGCCAGTCTCTGCAGAAGCTTCTTCACTTCTTGCTGCTGCTACAGAGGCTGGAAGCTGCTGCCTGAAGTAACTCCTGCTTGTAGGTTCTCAGGGCAACACGAGACAAGGGAGGGGCTGTGGGCTGGGGCCCGCGGCCACTTGTGAGCCACCGACGGGGCCGGTGCTGCCCGAGTGCCTTGTGTGGAGGGGGCGTGATCCTGCCGCTGCCGGCGCCTCCCGCTGCAGGCGCTCTCCAAACCGCGGTCCCGAGAAGGGCTCGCCGCGGGTTACGGGGCCAGGAGCAGCGGCGTGCCTGTGGTCGTTGGTGCTGTAGCGGGGAAGTGAATAAAGTGACAGCGCTTCGCGACTCCTGCCTCCTTGTCCGCCTCCGCCGGGGATGGGGCCGCACGGGCGGGGCGGGCGGGCGCCCTCAGCCGGCGGCGGGAAACGTCGCGGTAGTGCGGGCGCGGCCCCGTGGGCGGCGCGCTGACGTCACGCGCGCGGCACGGGGGCGCGCACGGCACGTGGCGGGGCGGAGCGGGGCCCGGCGGCGGCGGCGGCGGCAGCAGGTGAGTGACGGCCCGGAGCGGCCTCCGCGCCCCTTCCCGCCCGCACAGCCCCGCTGCCGCCGCCCCGCGCGGCGAGGCCGGGGCGCCTGAACCGGGCCCGGCCCGTCGGCACGCCGTTATCCCGGGGACCGCGGCCTCCCTATGGCGGTGCGGCCGCGCCGCAATGATCCCCTTGTCGCCCCCGCGCGCCCCCGCCCCGCGCACACCGAGGACGAAGGTCGTCGGGAGGGCCGGGCCCCGGCCCTGCTGTGGTCCGCCGTGCTCCCGGGGAACAGAGCTGAGAGCGACCCCCGGTCTCGCCGCAGCCGGCCCGGCCTTGGGCGGGCCGTTATGCCGGCCTGCCGCCCGGGCGGACGGTGGTCGATCGCTGCAGCCCCGAACAGCGCTGTGGGCTGTGGTCTCCGCGCCTGCCGGACCCGCC